CCCCGCCATTAAGAGAGGCACAGTAGGGAAAGGCATCGAGAGGAAAGAAGATAAAAATAAATCTAAAATAACGTGTGTTGCTCAGTGCAGGACGTTAAGTGAGGTTTGGGAGACTTTATGAGATGGTGAGGAAAATGGACTCGAATATGGAGGTTAGGACGCGGCCATTTCTCATGAAGCTTTCAAAACGTTTTGGAAATTCAGGTTTTAGTGGAGGATTGTGTTGGAATACTGTCTCTAGTAGGTTTCTACTGAGAAGCTAACTGCACTCTCCACTCAACTTCACTTCCCGTTGAAATTACTGTGGGTTCTACCGAATTCCTCACCCCAGGGGTGGAGCACAACTGCAGCCTGATTCGCACGCCACCATCCCAGGGCTCACGCGGGTGAGCCAGAGAGCCAATGTTTCACACATGCACATTTATTGTCATTTTAAGAGGAGCAATCCCAAATACTGGATAGGCAGTCACTCTTCAGCTCCATTAAATAAGACACAGCAAGGGGAAAGACATGTCTTGCAAAATGGCTTTCAAGTTCAAGTTGAACTATATTATAATTATACTGTGGCACAGAGGCAGCTTGTGGGCACTTCTTGTTAAAACAGCACAACGTATCAACTTCTGACAAGACTCTTAGTATAGCCTCGAACACCAACCTCAGATTACTACTTTCCTACAACTAGAGTTGAGTCTTACCAGAATCACAGAAGTACATACGAGGTACAACCCATCACAGCTTCTTTCTCACATCCATCTCATAGGTAAGAGGTTTTGCTTTTTAAAACTACAATTCTGTAACTTTTAAAAGATATTTAACATTTTCTATCATATTAAATTAGCAACATAAAACATTATGCTTAATCTATAAAGTTCTACTCCGGTTCATTCCCTAGAATTTATACACATATTTTTATTTCTAATCTGCAAGAAAAAATTGCCTATTTGATATTTGGTAACAGAGCATTAAAAGATACTATACACACGTGGCATATATATATTTACAAAATACACTTCAAAAAGAAGCCAACACACTTTTAGCAAAAGTCTAAGCTTGCATAGATCAAAAAGAAAAAAGAATTGTGAATACAATTTTTGTTAAAATAGAAAATGGGGAATAAAAGTTACAGAATGGATATGAAGAGAGATCTTTTCCAAACTTTTATTTGTGCACATTCAATTGAAAAAGATAACTTTTACAGGTTCTTTGGTGCCCATATTCAGCATACAAAAATGTAAAAGACTATTCACAAATAAAACACATTAGCTCAAACTGGAAAAAACTAATGACAACAACAGAACAATTTAAGGTAGTGCACACTGTGACAGCTCTGCTTTCGGGGACATGAGAATTACTGCGAAAATAAATAGAACGTCCTTTTGTAAAAGCAGCAATGTCATGTCTTGTAAACTTCCTTTTTATATTACAGCAAGGTCTGAAATAAAATCCAAAGGGCCTGGAGCTTACACTGTAGCCGTGAATGAATAAAAGAGTCTATTTCCTCAATTACTGTTGGTCCAGTTTTCCTTTTGTTTTGAGTCCAATGTGCAGCAGGTTTTAAAAGGTGCTCAGTTAGGGATTCTAACCAATTAAGCGATGAATTATAAAATTTCTTTCCTGCTTTCAAACACAAACGGGTAAATCTGTTCCACAGCAGTAGCAACAGCCTTTACGTTGGGCCCTGTACCAAACACAACAGAGAGAGGAAGGGGTGAGAAGAGCGCCAGGAACGCGGATTTCCCAGAACTGAAAATATATGGGGTTGTTTTTAAAAAGATCTACACTTTACATAGTCAGACGGTCACAGCAAAAACCAAGAGAATAAAATTCTCTCTGAACAGTTCAAGGCAATCTGAAACACCAATGATGTGATTCGTCTTGTTTTCAGGCCCCAGGGTGAAGACAGTGAACATAAAAACCACACACAGACTGCCGTGAAGGAGAATAAGAAGCGATGTGAGATACTGATTAAAGGAAGGAATGATAAACGGGAGTAGACATTTTGGGCACTATCCTTTTGGTCGCTGTAGTCTGGCTTTGGTTAGGCCGCCTCTGACGCTCACAGGAGTGCTGAGGAACTCAGTGAAGTACAACAAGCCTGCTTCCAAAGTTCTGGGAAATCAGAGGGCTGTGACTAGCTAACTGGTCTAAAACGCCCCGCAGATTAGTACTCACTACCCACCCCCACGTTTATTACTAACATGGCCATTCATCCTCACAGTTCACTCAGTAAATAGGGGCGCGTGCACGTGCGCGCACACACACAAACACACACACACGGGAATGAGGTAACGCTACATATGAATTAATCCATATAATGCTAGGAATAACTAGTTTTTAAAAAATTTAATATTCCATTTGAATAGATAAAAGGAAACATAAAAAAAGACCAAATATTTTCATAAAACATTTTAATAAAAATGGTTTCACTAACATACGCTTAACTCTTTTGAAAGATCTTAAAAACACACATATTGTACCCACTATGAACTCTCTGAAGGTACTGACCACATGCTATCAGGGTCTGCTCTTTCCTGATTCCTCTCCCTTCCCCCACATAGGATAGTGCTTTGCCTATGGGAACCACTCAGTATCTGTTCACTGAATTGTTAACATTTCATAGGATGTTCCAGATGTAAATATATAACGTATACTAATCAACCTAACTGTCTTCAGTTTGTGATGTTGTTTAGTTACCTATTAACTCAAATGTAGATTTTACCTATGCAGCATAAACTCTACACTTAATGGGGACTTCTCAACAGATTTTGGGGCTCTGCAGAGGCCTAGGCTCCAAAATGTAGGAAGAGGCAGTTGAAAGAAGGGAACAAATGGATTTGTTCCCCCACACTCCATTTTAAGATTTCGGCATGACCCTGGCAGTAGGTTTTAAAAGTCTCCAAGGAAGATATGAAAACCCATAGAATGAGTCAAAATTAAAACTTACTTGTTCAGAGTCTAAAGGTGTTGGTAACGTGTATTTTCTCTTAAGGACTAAAGGAATAAAAAGAAAAATTCAAGGACACCAAAGAAATTTTCCTGAATCCAATTTAGTCAAAGGTTGGGCCTAACTCTCAAGTGATGTCTCCGTACAATTTATACGCACAGTACTTTTAAAAACCATCCTGTGTGCTAATGTGATCCTTTGACATCTATGCCTTGTCTTTGAAACCACCCCTTCCAAATACTTAGGACTCAGAAGATACATAACAAAATACACATAAGACGTGATAAATAGGCACCAGTGATATATGAGTATTTTGCTTATGTAAAACCTCTATGAAGTTTATGAAGTGGATTTCTCTTAGGGTGCCTGTGTGGCTCAGTGGGTTAAGCGTCTGACTCTTGATTTTGGCTTAGGTCATGGATCTACAGCTACGTGGAATAATACGAATGAATCTCACTAGATAATACTGAATGAAAGAACACTGACCCAAAACAGTATGTATAAGACTTAAAACTAGTAGAAAAAGCAGGGAAAACGAAACTACAGTTTTAAAAGTCAGGAGACTGGTTCCCTTTGTAGGGCAGAAGTGACTGAAGGGGGACAATGAGACAATATTTATATTTGGATATAAGCACTTCATTCAAACCATAATTGGCCATACGCTTGCTTTCAGTATCATAAAATACCTGTTACTGTGATACTTCCCGTTGAAAAAATCTGTAATGTAGCTCTTAGAGATTTTATCCGATAGCACACAGCAGGATGAAGTTCAGGTTCATAACTGTACAAAAAAAAAAAAAAAAACCACAATTAATATAAATATTTATAGGCTGACAAACAATTACAAATTTGGTAAGTTGTCCTGATTCTTCGAAGACCTACCTGGCATGAGGTCTATTGTTCTTTGTGAATTCTGGCAAACGGATTTCAAATGGCATATTACACACCGCCAAAACGTTAACGACCTTAAAATCTGTAAATATTACCTTCAGGAGAGAAGTACAACTCAATGAATTATTTTGCAACAAAAAAATTGCTCAGCAGAAAATAGAAATTGTTCATCAGGGAAACTATAAATAACTGTTTCAATCCTTAAAAGTAAGAACAAACTAGAAAGAAAAACAACACCTGACGAACTGATCTAGTTTTCGGTGACTTCTTACTACCATACAGGTGACCCTTGAACAATGCAGGGATTAGTGCCCCTGCCAGTCAAAATTCCATGCATAACTTCTGACTCCTCAAACTCAACTACTAATAGCCTACGATTGACTGGAAGCCTTACCCATAACATAAACAGTCGATTAACACATATTTTGTATACATATTATATACTGTATTCTTACAATAAAGCTAGAGAAAAGAAAATGTTATTAAGAAAGTCATAAGGAAGAGAGAATACATATATGGCACTGTACTATATTTATCAAAAAACATCTGTACATAAGTGGATCCGCACAGTTCAAACCTGTGTTGTTCAAGGGCCCACTGTAATTACAGAAAAAGGTCAAAAACTTCATCAAAAAATTAAAACCTGAGAGATTTGCAAGATTAAAACATCTGGGTCTTTTGAATCTTATCTTGTATTTTTTTTTTTTTTTATTTTATTTTATTTTTTTTTTAAATTTTTTTTTTTTTCAACGTTTATTTATTTTTGGGACAGAGAGAGACAGAGCATGAATGGGGGAGGGGTAGAGAGAGAGGGAGACATAGAATCGGAAACAGGCTCCAGGCTCTGAGCCATCAGCCCAGAGCCTGACGCGGGGCTCGAACTCACAGACCGCGAGATCGTGACCTGGCTGAAGCCGGACGCTTAACCGACTGCGCCACCCAGGCGCCCCTAATCTTATCTTGTATTTTTTTAAATTTAAGTGGGATATTTAATCTGCTGGGACAGGAGAAAGAATAGTGATTATAAAAATTAAAGCAAAGTTATCCTTCTCAAGAGTCAAAATGGAAGTTGCCACTTAAATAAGTAAATACTGAGTATATGCTGAGTCAATACTGAGTACTGCGTGTACACTGAGCTCTGAAAGGTCAGACTTTTGCTTATAGGAGTAAGGTAAAATGATCCTTCTGTGAGTTTAGTTAGACGTTTTCTTTCGGGAGGGTAGAGTGAGAAAATGGTGTTTTTAACTGGGATTTTTCTCAACACGTCTAATGTTATACTAAGACAAGGTCCAAGGCTGAAAAGTAACTTCAGCCACTCCTACCAATAACTTGAATGGAGCAGTTTATTATCTTTTGAAACATTCCCAGTAAAACCACAATTCTGGGTTAACTATCTTCCATCGGAGTACCTGCACAAGGCAGCTGATGAAAGTCAGTGCGCTGTCCAAAGTGGCCCCACCATCAGTCACGACTCTCAAACTGCACTTTTCTTAAGCACCAACCCTCCCCCTCTCCCACCATCAGTACCCCGGTGCCTTTCTAGTATCTTCCACCTCAGGGAAGACTGAGGAAGACACAGAGAAACTCAACTTCCCACAACTGCTCATTTGAATTCCACACAGCCTGGGCCCATCTCTTCAGGGACCACAGCACATCTTTATTTTTCTTTCGTTGACTCATCATTTGCAAGTGACATAACAAGTCCATACTACATAGCAATTTTACCAAATGTATGCCTCCATAAAACGGTATTTGATAAAGTTAACCTCCCAGTGATGGTCACTTTACAAGTAAGAGCCCACCAACCAGTATGCACTTTCTGTGGACTAAACTGTGGATCTAACACAGCAGGCCAATCTTACAATGTCCGTTTTCAAACACTGTGCATTTTGTTTTGGACTTATGCTATTTTTTTTTTAAATGTTTATTTTTGAGAGAGTGCAAGTCGGGGAGGGGCAGGAGACAGAGGATCTGAAGCGGGCTCTACACTGACAGCAGAGAGCACGATGTGGGGCTCAAACTCATCAACCATGAGCTGAGCCGAAGTCAAGAGCCGGACGCTCAACCGACTGAGCCACCCAGGTGCCCCAGGATTCATGTCATTTTTAATACAGCTGATTGACTTTACAAAATGCAGCCTTTTCTGAGTTCTTATATACAGGTGTATACTTAGTATTAGTTATTCAAGTGAATCCTTTTCAACTTATACCAGCAAATGCTGTTATTTCTCAAGCACAGATTCAGTCAGTTCTGCATATTTTTAAATAATCACAATTTCCTGTTATAATGGTAATGCTGTCACTAACCATAAAATGTAGGAACACTGTTTACTCTTAGCCATAAAATGTATAGATCTAGGCAAGTTCCATTCTAATATCTTTTTTCTTCTTTATAATTTATGTGATAGCTATCTACAAATAAAAACAAATGCGCTTCAACTTTTTGAACGTAGGGCCCTACTCCCTACTCATCATCCTGACAAACTACTCTTGAGGTCATCAAAAACATGACTTGGTGTGTGTGTGTGAGGAGTGAACAACCTGAAGAGCTGAAAAGGCAGGTCACGTGTAAGGTAACAAGCGTCTCTGAGAAAGGGGGCAGTGAAAAAGCCAGGATCCTTGCAAGGAATCACGTGGGTAAGCTCACTGTGTAATTTTTGTACTGAAGGACGGTAAGAAAAAGGCCAATTGTGAGGAAGTTTTTGTGTGATTTCTTCCGTCTATTAAATTAAAAAGTTTACCTTTACAAACTAAATCCTTTCATATTTGCAGTTTGGATGGTTTTTTTTTGAAAACATTACCTGAAAACCTAGTTTCTGCAGACTGCGGGCTAAACGTCTGGCACCAAATTTTGCTTCTTCTTCACTACGGTTTTAAGGAAACGAAAAGATTATCAGTCACACAGGAAATAAACTTTATCTGACAAACATGACAAACGACACACATGATTTTAAGTCCAGGAAAACGTCCTCCCCTTGTACAAAGGAAACATTAAAAGTCCAAGGAAAGTTTACCTTGTTGCTCCAGTGCAAATAATTTTTCCTGAGGACCAAATTGTAGCTGTGATTCTAGGTTTCCTAAGCTTCATTAATACTTTCTGCAAAAAACAACACACACACACACAAAACCCAAAACCTGATTACACATTAAATATTAATTTTCACTTACGGTGCTGCTCTACGTGGCCATTTTAATACAAGTTGACTACTCGACGCTTACCCACGCCTTAAATAAATAACTGTTCTCCAAATCCCATTCGGAAATCGAGCTCCATACCGAACATAAAGAACATATTAATCCAAAAGGACATTCAATTAATCAAAAATACAAGGTCTGCATAAACCTCTTACTATATACTTGAAATCAATACGCCATGAGTCTGTACACTTTCCAACTCTCATTCCCCGCTGGTTACATAACTGGAATTTGCAATTCGCAATCCACATAAATGGATCCTTAAACATGCCAAACCTGTTCACACCTCAGGGGTTTTGCAGTAATTGTTACTGTCATCCGGAATGTTCTTCCCTCAATATTCTCACTTCATTCAAGTCTCTCACCAGATGTCAGAGATTCCTGACCACTCCATCAATGCACCCGTCCCTTTGTCGCTCCCCACCTCCTACCTTGCTTTATTCTGCTTCATGGTACTCATGGCTACTTTCTGTACCTTACAGATGAGATGCCTACTACATGTTCAAGTTCAATACACAAATCTTGAATGCAGGGGAAACGGTGGAGCTGGAGATGTAATTTTAGATTCCTTAGATATGAGAGCCATTTAAAGCTGTGGGTTTGAATGAAATTATCTACAGAATGAGCATAAGTCGGTCAAGGACGAAAGTCCAAGAGAACAACAAATTTAAGTTTTCATTGTAGTTTTTCATCTATGGAAATATTAATTATATGCCCATCGTGCATAAGAGAAGTAAATGTATACTGATTACGATAGCATATGAATCAGACGTTTCTCCTTCAAACGTCCGTCGGCATTTTGAGTTTTGCCCTTTCTCTGTCATATGCCGTATTACCCACCTATTATCAAAGCTATTAAATCTGGAAGGATAAAATTTCCCAAAGAGTCAAAATAAAATCTGAACTAAAAGATAGTATAAAATTTCACACACAAGTGGCTGGGAAACACTAAACTGAGTTTATTCTGCACTTAAGTGCCTTTCACCACCTGCTTACCATCAACTCAGCCTTTTCAGTTCATCTTCCTAGGAAAAATGACTTCCCTGTCCCATGGCACACACAAGATCCAAAGCAGCACGAGGCCTTTTACTCGCTAACCTTCTTCAGCGGACATATTCCTTCCTTTATTTAGGTGACGATGGCATTGCTGATGAACTTGAAAATCTTTAATTGTGTCACTATTAAGTTTTAATTGAATTCAATTCCCCTTAACTTAGTTTGTAGTACTAAGAACTAATAATTTACTGAGGTATACTGGCACCTAATTTTTAGAGCTTGGAGCCTTCATATACATTCATAATTTTCATAATAAATATATAAGATACACATCTCAACATCATGTGGTTTACAAAATCCAATGAACACGTATTGTCACTTCTAACGTTAATCTTCAATAAGGTTAAAGGCAAGTTATCAATGCTTTTATTTTAAAGAGTAGAGGTCTAACAAAAACTAAAATTGAAAGTATCCAGGTTAGGATATGAATCATATTATTTTCAGCAATGTGTTACAAAGAATACCAACTATTTTATTTTAGCTAAATAAAGAGGGGTATGACAACATACTACAAAAATCACAACATATGTATTAGGACCTCATTCGTATCATGCATCATTCATGCAACTAAAAAATTATATTTGAATTAAGTATACACCACTGTACAGATGTCCCCTTCTTCAGTTAAAAGAAATTAAGAGAAAAAAATGTCTAGTAGCCTGTGAATTCTTTGCTAAGACTTAGAGATGTGTATATGCAAAAGGTGGCACTTCATGGGAGCGGGGGGGGGTGCTTCTACAGGGCTCCATATTGTACTGAGTACAGCCGGCACTTGGTAAGGTGCTCTGAAACTATCGGTAAGTGAATATATTTTAGTATGTCATTTATAGCACTACAAAACCAGTCTATGTAGCCCACACGCCAAAATTTAGATACTTACTCCAACATCACGCTTATAAATTACATTTGCTCCCTCCAAAGCAATCTTCCTTAAGTTCAAATGGCATCTTGTTCTAAAAACACAGACTACATTTGTAATTAGAATGTCCAATGCAACATCACTGTCTGCATCCATTGGGGTAGTTTAAAAACTGAGCTTCCCACCACGAAGATCACATCCTGAGAAAGAAAACAAAATAAAGTAATTACACTTAAATATCCTGTTAATTTATTTTTCATAAATAGTCTTGAAAATTAAAATATAAGAAATGAATTACACTATTTAGTTTTCAAATGTGACTCAAACCAAATCATGTCCCTTCTTTTCCTCACTAAAAATGTCATTTTTAAAAAGATAACAAACATGTCGTACAGAATCTTTCAAAATCCGGACCTTTTATTCCTTACAATTAATAAGTAACATTTACGTGCCAGGAGCCTACCAGACTTCTCTCCTGCTACTTCCCTTTACAACCACTATGTTTCAGGTGTATCATAATTATGGCAATTCTCCAAACACACCAAGTTTAAGGGTGGGACTTTGTGGTCCCAATGTCCAATCATTAGTGGTACTGTAACCCGCCTCATACAACTTGCCAGGGCGAAAAGAAGGATGACCTGTCTTTCCTCTATTTTAGGTAACTGACTTACCGGTTTAAAGAAGCAGAAATATTAATTATAATATTAATAGATTTTTCTCATTTACTAGTCAGCCATTCATTATTCACTTACTGAATACCTTCTATGCACTGAGGACACCAGGAAAAAAATGAATAAGGCAAAATCTTTTGTCATCAAGGAGCTCACAAGTCTACGAGTGTAGGAAGAAGCTCTCACAAGTAGCACACCATTTTCGTCAGGATCACAGTCTTTCAAGGTCTGTATCCTTTTAAAACTATGATACGAGCATTTCTATAAATGAACCAACAAAAAAGAGCCCCAGTTTTTACCAGTAAGCATGTGACCCATTTCCAGTTAAAAAATTCTGACCAGGTTTCCACATCTTAAAAAACAAGTAATGGTAATTTAGTTCACCTAACCCACAAAGAGAATACCAGAAAACAGTAACAATACCATTGTAATGATCTTGGGGATCCCTTGCAGCTACAATATGATAAACTAGTATTCTATATAAGGATTCAAATTATTGTATGACTAGAACAACGAAGATGCCAAGGGTCCCGATAAAGAAAATTCAAGCTTGTTTTCCTGCCGTTTGGGATCTGACAGAACACAAGTCAGACCTGACCTGTGGCACCTCTCTAGGATGATGGAGCCTTCAGTTCTGTGCACCACCTGTATCTCCGCTTCACCAATTTCTGACTTTTATGTTCCCTTCAATCTGCTTATCTCCTTGTTTTGTTGTTTTCTGTGTATCTCTAAGTCAACTCAAATAATTTTTACGTACAAGGGATGGGGCAGGAGTAGCAGTGCATATACAAGTAGACGGATTACTAAAGAGGATGGAGGCAGTTATCAACACTCATCTTAAGCAGCAGGATCAATATCCTGACTCCCCACACACCAGGTACGAGAACCTGAAAAAGGTATGCAATCTATCTGTGCCTCGGTTTTCTCATTTGTGGCATGGAATATAGTGTCCTACTAGAACGTGTTGTGGGGATTATACAGAGTGTATAAAAAGTACTTAGCATACATATTTGGCAATAGTAACACAAAAATGACAGTTAATATAGATAAAATAATCAATAAGCAGAGATCTCTTACTACCATTTCCCATGATTATATTATAGCCCAGATGCTGAGCCATATAGACCTCACCAGGTTTTCTACTTTCCTGTAAAAACTATGAAATAACTGAGGTAAAGAGGCTCTTAGCTGCATACCCCAACATCCATTCCACCCTTCCTGCACAGTGAACAGAACCCAGGTGTCTGGGAGAAATAAAATACTATACATACTTTCAAGGCTCCCTGGGAACAGGTAGAGCCAAGGGGCCACACGATCCTGTCACGATTAACGAAATGTAAAATGAAATGGTTTTGTATCTTTTGCGAAGAAAAGATTGCTTAGAGTGACCAAACTAAGCCAGCCAAGACCCCTTTTGCCTTCCTACCCTTCTTCACTTTTATTGCCTGGACTTTAGATGTAAGAATTGGGAGCTCAAGTAGCCATCTGATCATGAGACTATGAGATAAGGGCAGTGGAACAGTAAGACAGAGCAAGCCCGAGTCCCTAATCCAATGGAATTCCTTATTACCCCTGTACTTCCTAATTCCAGACTTGATGAAGGTGGGAGAAAAATCAATTTCCATCTCAAGGCCCTCACCTGCTGAATTTCTGTCATATGCAGCCAAGCCTAATCCTAACGGATGCACATCCCAAGAGACAGGCTACAGAAAGCACTACTTAAAAAGAAACTCGTATGAAGAAACTGTCAAATTTACTGTTTCACACAGATTTTGTTTTTTACATTAAAACAAATTAAGGCGAGAATACCAGGACAATATGTAGGGTAAAAATAAGTCAAGAAAGTAGGTATAAAGCAAATCTCGGTGACTGCAAAGAAGACTTGAAATTAATACAATTGTGCCTGTATTTTAGTAACTTAAACTCTAAAAATGAGATCACAGGTGTAGTTCATCCTAAGTTACTCAATGTTCATATTTTAGATGAATATAACCTGGCAAGCAGCCTCAGAAAACACTATTGCTTTAATACGTTTTAAATCAAGGACAGAATATGGAGTCAGTACTTAAAAAAGAATCAGGCGGGGCACCTGGGTGGCTCAGTCGGTTAAGCGGCCCACTTCGGCTCAGGTCACGATCTTGCAGTCTGTGAGTTCGAGCCCCGCGTAGGGCTCTGTGCTGACAGCTCAGAGTCTGGAGCCTGTTTCAGATTCTGTGTCTCCCTCTCTCTGCCCCTCCCCCGTTCATGCTCTGTCTCTCTCTGTCTCAAAAATAAATAAACGTTAAAAAAAAAAAAATTTAAAAAAAAAAAGAGGCATCCTACACGAAAGACTCCACACTTCTGAAGCATTACAAACAAACAAAAAACCTACTTGCAGTCAATTTAGCTATCTTGTAAAACAAGAAAGCAGTGCTGGATATTAACAAAGATTCACCCCACAGCTAACATCATACTCAATGGTGAAAAGCTGAAAGCTTTTCCTCGGAGATCCGGAACAAGTCAAGGATGCCCACTCTCACCACTTGCATTCAACACAATATTGGAAATCCTAGCCAGAGCAGTTAGGCAAGAAAAAGACAATGCATCCAAATTGGAAAGGGAAAAAGTAAAATTGTCACTTTTTGTGGATGGCATGATTTTATATATAGAAAACCCTAAAGACTCCACCAAAAACACTTTTATAACTAATAAATGAATTCAGGAAAAGCTGCCAAGTACAAAATCAATATATAAAATCTGTTCTGTTTCTATATACTAACAACAAACTATCAGAAAGAGAAATTTTAAAAACTCAATTTATAATTGCATCAAAAAGAACAAAATACCTAGGAATAAATTTAAACAAGGAGATGAAAAACCTGTACACTGAAAACTGTAAGACACTGATGAAAGAAAATGAAAAACAAGTAAATGTATATTACATGCTCATCGAATGAAAGAATTAATAGTTAAAATGTCCATACCACTCAAAGCAATCTAGAGATTCAATGCGATCGCTATCAAAATCCCAATGGTATTTTTCACAGAAATAGAACAAACAATCCGAAAATTTGTATGGAACCACACAAGCAATCTTGAGAAAGAACAAAGCTGGACTCCGATTTCAAACTATATTACAAAGCTATAGTAATAGAGATCAGAACAGAATAGAGAGCTCAAAATAAACCCATGCACGTTCAGTCAACCGATGTATGAATAAGGAGGCAAGCACACACAATGGTGAACAGACAGTCTCTTCAAGAAGTGGTGCTGAGAAACCCGGGCAGCCACATTCAAAAGAATAAAACTACACTCCTATCTTACACCACACGTAAAAATAACACAAAATGGATTAAAGACTTGAATGTAAAACCTGGAACTATAAAACTAGAAGAAAACGGGTGGTAAGCTCCACGATACCACCAGTCTTCGCACTGAATTTCTGGATCTAACTTTAAAAGCAAAGGCAACAAAAGCAAAAACAAGCAAGCGATACATCAAACTAAAAAGCTTCTGCACAGCAAACAACATGAAAGGCAGCCTACTGAATGCGAGAAAACTGCTGCAAATCATATACTCAGTAAGATGTAAATATCCAGAAAATAAAAAGAACTCTTATAACTCAACAGCAAAAACAACAAACAATCTGATTAAAAAATGGGTAGAGGAACTGAAGAGACATTTTTCCAAAGAAGGCATACAGATAGCCAACAGGCACATGAAAAGATACTCAATCAACATCGCTAATCATCAGGGAAAAGCAACTCAAAACCACAAGGAGAGATCACTGCACATGTGTTAGAATGGTTGTTAACAAAAAGACACACAATAACAGGCGCTGGTGAGGATGTGGAGAGAAGGGAAAGCTTGTTCACTGTTGGTGGGAATGTAAACTGGTGCAGCTACTGTGGAAAACAGTATGGAGGTCCCTCAAAAAATTAAAAACGATCCAACAATTCCACTTTTGGACAGTCATCTGAAGAAAGGGGAAACATTAATTTGAAAAGATATATGCACCCCTACATTCATCACAGTATTATTTACAATAGCCAAGCTATGGAAGTAACCTAAATGTCCACTGATGGGTGAATGCATAAAAAAAGATGTGGCATGTATACAAAATGGAATACTTCTCGACCATAAAAAAGAAAACAAATATAAACGACTTAAGCATTCGATCCAAGAAATCAAGTATAGGCCAAATATAAATGACTTCAGCATTCGATCCAAGAAATCAAGTAAATGACAACCACAAAATAGAAGGAAGAAAATGGTAAATGAAAGTAGAAATAATATAACTAAAAAAGCAAACATGGTAGAAATAAAAGAAAAATTCAACTCCAAGTTTTGAAATGTAAAAGATTCCAATAGTTTTTTCATATAGGAATATGAAAAAGTTAATTTCTTCAATTTTTTGTATAGTATAAAAAAACAACATAAATATTAGAATCTTTATACAGTATAGAAAAATAACATATATATTAGAGAAAAACAACATATATATGAAAAGCACAGTTAACTCTATTTTGATTTAAATAGAATTATCAATG